GGTGGACGATGTTAGTGTTGTTGGTGTTGGTGTTGGTCTTTGATGATGAAGGTGGTGGTGCCGATGTGGATATAGAAGGGTGGTGGTGGTGTTATGACAGTGGTGGTGAATGGTCAGATTTATGGGTTTGAGTGGAGATGTCAGTGGTAGTTGAAGGTAGATGTTTATGGCGGAGATGGTGATTAGAAGAGTGTGAATGATGGGAGCCATATCATTTATTTAACAATTTTTTTTTAAAAGAATGGTAATAAATGAATATTAAATAAATAAGGGTAATATAATCTTTTTATGTTTTTTAGGGACGGAAATCGCAACAAATAAATACCACAAAGATGGAGAGATAGTCCAAGTGCACAAAAATTGTTAGGATGAACCACATAATTTTGAGCAAACCATAGGAAGATTTCAATAATCTACTCTAATTAATATCAGTTCAAGAATACAATATGTTTTTTAAATTCAACATGTTGTTAAAGAAACTTTTTTTTTTTAATAATTCTAATATAACAACATTAAAATTTAATCATACAACCATCTTATTTACAATATTTATTGAAAATTAACTGAAAAAAAAAAAATAGTAAGTTACTTGATGTTTTTAGTTATTGTTATAAAAAAATCGTTAGATAAATATTCGTAAAGTTTTTTGATATATGAATACCAAAAAACTTTGTTAACAAATAACAAGTTTATTAAGCTAAAATTATTAAAATAATACAATTACATGTAGATTTAGAAAATTTTTTAAAAAAATGTGAATTATTCTTAAATAAACTTATTACGATATGGCAAAGAACTAAAAAAGAAAATTACAACCTATAGTGGTTTCTTTTGTTTTTATTTTCTTTTTGCCCACAGATGCAATAGTCAAAGCATGAGATTTTTTTTCCTTTAGAATTAATAGAATCGCTACCAAGACATATTGCTTTATATACGTGCCAATATCCAAATTTTTTTAGATTTGCAGTCTTATAAAAAATAGTCTTTGAGGACCAAACTACATGTTGTCTGTGGTGTGGAACACACATAAGAGGTCTAAAAGAGCTTTTATAAAAATAATAATAATAAAAAAATTGCCAAAAAGAAGATGTGCAGACGTTTTTAGGTCTGCAATCTTATAAAAAACAATATGCAAGATCAAACATCTGCATGTTATGCATGTTGTCTATGGTATGGAATAGATATAAGAGGTCTAAAAGAGCTTTTACAAAAACAAATGTCAAAAAGAAGATATGCAGACTTTTTTAGGTCTACAGTCATATAAAAAAACATAAGAGTTCTAAAAGAGCTTTTATAAAAAAATATGTCAAAAAGAAGATATGCAGACTTTTTTAGATCTGCAGTCTTATAAAAAACAGTTTGCAGAACCAAACATCTGCATGTTGTCTGTGGTGTGGAACAGACATAAAATGTCTAAAAGAACTTTTACAAAAAAAAATGTCAAAAAGAAAGATATGCAGATTTTTTTAGGTCTGCAGTCTTATAAAAAACAGTCTACATGACCAAACCAAACGTCTACATGTTGTTGTTTGTGGTGTGGAACAAACATAAAAGAACTTTTAAAAAAAAATAAAATAAAATAAAATAAAATAAAATAAAATAAAAAAAAGACACCACCGTTATCTCTTTCACACCAATATTAAAAAGCCATCTACTTTGGGAACAAACGATAATTAGCAAATCTCTTCCACACACAAAAACCATACAAAAGTAACAAGATTCAAAATCTTGCAAAAAGCACAAGCAAAGGTACATTCACAGAGAAACAGAATAGAAACAAATGAATAAACAGTTTTGCATAAACACATCACTTCATTCTATTTTTTCACATCAATTAGCAAATCTAATGAATACATGAACATATCATAAGAAAGCTATTAGTGATCAACAAGAAACACAATCTAACCCCACAAACTTCAAATACTTTCATAATAGCAAAGATACATACATATGATCATATGAACCACTTATTAACGTCCTTTATTGCAGTAATTAACACACCCTCTATCTTTCCTTACATTATACAATCCATCACAGTTTTTTGGGTCGCAAATGGGAGGTTTTTGTAGACCGTTATAAATAAGATTCTTATTTTCAATCAGAATCCGCCTATGTTCTTCAGTGTCCATTAAGAACTCTTCATCCTCCTCCATTAACGTTGAGCATTCATCCATGGTGCCATTGCAGTGACTAATGGCAAATCCTTCACAGACGTTGATGATTGATGGTAGAAAGATGAGAAAAGTGAAGAAGACGAAGTTTGTGCTTCTTGAAACCATGATTTTGAGTAAGAAATTGTGTTGGTTTTCTTGATGTATATAAAGGAATTCAAATGGGTTGTGTTTTAGGTTTTCACTGTTTTTGACTCTATTCAAGATAATGGTTTAGAATTTAATGTGTGATTCTGATTCAAGCTCTTTTGAATTATTTTCCCCATAGTAGAAGGCAACTGTTTGTCTGGTTCCTTTGCTTTTTATAAAATGTTATAGTACTATCATGTTGTGAACCAAAATACTTTGTTGTATTGTAGTAGTCCACAAGTTTTTGTTTTTTAAATGGTTTCATTTAAGTTATCTATTTGTTTGATTTCAATATTTTGTTAAATTATGATCAATCCAAACAAGGGATTTTTCTTATTTGATAAGATCGTAGAGTTGTTTTTAATCTATAAAAAAAAATTGAAATGAAATAGGATTTGGTTAATTTCAATGTTAAACGTTAAAACTAAAAGAGTAAATCATAGTTAATTAACTAAACGAATGATAATTTAAAGGAAATAACCAAACTTTTTTTTTTTTTGCAAAAAAAACATGATGTCTAGAAATGAGCATTCGAACCGAAAGACTTTTTTAACAAAAAAATATATTTCGGATTGAGATTTTGAATTCCAGACCAAACTTTTGGATTTCAAAAAAAATCTAAAAAAATGTTAAACTAACATAATAAATAAATGTGAAATATTTACAATATAATAGCTTAAAATAAGACTTATGATTGAAAAAAAAAAAAAAAAAAACTATAAAATAGACATTTCGGATATAAACGATTTTTTTTGGAATAAAATTGTGAAAAAAAAAAAAATTAATATCAAGAACAAAACATAAAATGGTTATTTTTCAAAAATTTTGAAAAAAATGGTTATTTTTCAAAAAATTTGAAAAAAATGGTTATTTTTATTTAAAAACTCGTTTAGTTAGTTTCCTACAAACCAATCATTTTTGTAGAATAACAAAAGTTATTTTGTATTTATAATGAAAATATCTAAATAATTTTATCAAACTGGACCCTCCTCACATGTTGTCCACTAAATGTTCTTGATCTCGTGTTCACTGGGATAAATACAAACGACATTATTCACATCTTTTTCTTTTAACTATGATATCACAATTTTAACTTATTAAGACTATAATGTTTAGATTCATCATTAAACATACTTGGATCATAAAAAACTCTTGAGTATAGAAAATCATCATGCCCCATAAGTAGTGCCTCAAAATTAATATCTAATATTTTGAAATTTGTTTGTTGCAATTGAAAGGTAAATTTGTTACTATTCATTTTAGAAACCATACAGAACCCTAGGAGTATTTGTTTTAGGGCTAACAGACTATTTGATATAGTAAGAGGTTGAGTCTACTAGGTCTGATTTAAACCTCTTGATATCACAATTAAAAGTAGGGATGAGCATCAGAACCGGGTATCCGCTTTTGGAACCGGAACCGCCTCGGAACTGCTGGTTCTGGAACTAGAACTGCCTTAAGCGGTTCCGGTTCCGGTTCCTAAAGTTATGGAACCGCCTTAAGCGGTTCCGGTTCCAATTCTCATTTTTTAGGAACCACTACCCGTTGGGTACCCGCCGAAACCGATATATATATATATATATATATATATATATATATATATATATATATATATATATATATATATATATATATATTAGTATTTCATATAAATATGTGTGTTGTTTAGACCGGTTTAGAATATATTGATCTGATTTTGTCCCTCTTTTGTCTGAATTGATTCGATTTAGATCGAATTAAGTTGCGGTTTTATCGACAAAAGTTAGCAAAGTTAATATAACCGGGTTACCCGCTCCCGGAACCGGAACCACCGGTTCCAGGACTGGTTCCAAAATTTTAAGAACCGCCTAGAGCGGTTCCAGTTCCGGTTCTAACTTTTTAAGAACCACCGGTTCCGGTTCCGGTACTCGCCAAATGAGGCAGGTACCCACCTATGCTCATCCCTAATTAAAAGTCTCTATATAAGCTTTTAGGGCTTCCAGACTATTTGATATGCTTCTACCCGTTTTGATTTAAACTGTTTGATACCACAATTATAAGAATCTTTGATTTTGTCTATGTTATAGTATCTAATATCTGATAAGCTTTTAGGGCTAACAGATTGTTTTATATGTCTTACCGGTAAGTAAGAGGTTGAGTGTACTCGGTCTGGTTTAAAACGTTTGATATCACAAGTAGAAGTCTCTGATAAGCTTTTAGGGCTTAAAAGATTGTTTGATATGCATCTACTCAGTTTGATTTAAACTGTATGATACCACAATTATAAGCCTCTGATTCTATCTCAGTCTGATAGTATCTAATATTTGATAAGCTTTTAGGGCTAACAGATTGTTTGATATGTCTTACTGGTAAGAGGTTGAGTCTACTCGGTATGATTTAAACCGTTTGATACCACAATTTGAAGTCTTTGGTCTCAGTCCGATAGAAAGATGGTCTGAGTCCGATAGAAAGAAGTTAGGTCTAACTGAATCAGACCCGACTCAACCAGCAACTATCAAAGAGTCCTAAGCAGTCTCTACTTAAAAATAAAAATATATTCCATGTTAACGTAATTATAAAACACAAACTCAAATTCAAGCTCAATAAAGCATATGAAGCTAGAAGCCATAAGTAAACGTAGCAAAATATCTTTCCTTAATGCAAAATTCCTCATCAATCACACAATACAAAAAGAAAATACAAACTACAAGTTAAAATGAATTAGCTACTAGAAACAAAAAATTTCAAAATGTGAATTGAAAGCAATAAGAATAAGAACACGAGTTTTTTGTGTGTGTGCGCACCTTTGTTCTTGAATCCTGAATTGAAATGTCTCGGGAGTAGTTCTGATAATATTTGGGAAAATGAAGCAAAATTTCAACGAATTGCCAAACCTTGGATTGCTTGTGTTGCATCTTCGGTTACCTTGTTTGCTTGAATTGTTGTTATCACATTTGATATGTTACCCTGAAAGCATAAAGTTTGTAAATATTTTAAAATAAAATATTTAAATTTAGAAAAGTCACAATAAAAATATTTATTTACCCTCCATGTTGCCAGCTTTTCCCTAAGAGATAGCCACTGCTGCTGCCCAAAAACACGCTCTGTGTATCGACTACAAAAATATGTAAACTAATATTATTAGTTGTAAAATCTACTATAAAGTCCCTATATTTTGACATCATGTTCATTTAAGTCCCTATATTCTTTTTTCTGATTAAGTTTGTTTCGAGTACTATTAGTAGTATTCATTTTGACCTTTTTACCCGGTCAACAGATCATCCTACTCAAAATTTATTTTAAATTTTATTATGAACTTGGTCCAAATTTTACACTTTTGGTCCAGATTTCAAAACTTTGTTATGAATTCAACCTAAATTTAGTTTTTTTTTTTTTTTCTAAATTTTGTTTAGAATATGTTGTTTTTGCTTTATAAAATCATAATTATACCAAAAAAGACATTTTTGCTTTCCTTTTTAGTAACAATAACATAATATCTAAGTTGTTTTCGCAAAATATGATTTTATAAAGCAAAAATAGAATACTCGAAACAAGATTTGAAAAACACAATATATGTAAAAAAACTAAATTTAGGATGAATTTGTAACAAAATTTTGAAACCTGGGCAAAAAGTGTAGAATTTGGATCAAATTTGTAATAAAATTTAAAACCTGTTTACCGAGATAAGAAAAAAAAAAATTTTAAAAGAAAAATAAATAAAAGGTTTTTACTTACGTTACTCTAATGACTTCATTCATTTGATCAATTTTGCAATCAATCAGTTTAGCAGTGATTGCCTTTACTACCCATGGCTCCACCTCATCATCCTCAATCTGCAATTAACCCCATTTTAATAATAAATAAATTGGAGGGGGGGGGGGGTAGGTAGGTAGGTAGGTATACCTGTAGAGTGTCCTTTATCATATGATAAGGAATTTGGCCAGATTCTTTTGAGGCAAGATCCACAATTGACATCAACCTCATCTTTGCTATACAATCTTCATGTACAATACCTACACAAGAGAAGGGCATTTATGTCTTTTGCACAAAAAAGAGATTGAGATCAAGCCCCTGTCCCAACTCCCAACTTATTCAACCTTTTATGGGTGGACATAAAATTGTAATTTTTGTCCCATTGAGATTTGTTCTGTTCCATCTTGGGTAACAAACGGTGGCGAAAAGACAAATTTGACCCTAGAAATTGAAATGGGATGGTTGTAAATTTGGAATCTGTAATTACCATGGCTATTTAGTAATGCAGAATTTGCAGTGTGAAAATCCATGTAAGCATCTAGCCTTTGAGTCAAAAAGATGTTGAGAAGTTGATATATTAATGCATATTTGGTGTCTTTCTCCAATTGTGCTACAGCAGGCATATCAAGCAAATCATGCTGCCATGTTATTAAACAAGAAGATGGTCAAATTTTAAAAATATCCCTTTTTTAACTTTTTTTTTATAATATTATAAAATTATAATTATATAACACCTGAAACATGTCAGGTGATTTGACAAATTCAATGATAGTGTAAGCAGCTTCTTCCTTTGCCTCCTCCATAGTATGTGCATCCTCATCAGAAAATGTTGCAAGATACTTTGTTAAGAACTTGAAGGTTTCTTTTGGGGAGCTGAATTTAGTGAACAAATTGAAATATTAAAGAGAAATCAAAGGGATGATGAATGTAGAAACTATATTGAGTACCTTTTGTGTTCCTTTAAGATATTAGAGATTGTCAAGAAAAGCTCTCTTTGATCATGAACTCCAAGATTCCATTCTTTTAAGAAACTGTCTATCTTTTTAAAAGATGGTATGATATGCTCTATGACCTTTCCATTCATTGCCAATTTAAGGGCGTTCATGTAAACGTAGAATCGGCTGTAAGGGTTCTCTAACAGGTTGTAGAGATTGAACAAGCTGAATAGAGGAGAAAGGTAGACATGAGAAATGTTACAAGATATTAGTACTTGTTATGTGATTATGAGCAGAACTTACATCTTCAATCGGAGTGCAGGTTTATCATTTGGTTGTTGTGCAACTTTGGTGGATAAAAGCTTTGCCATCTCTAACATTTCGTCAAGGCTTTCAGGCTTAATGACAAGATTGCAGATGATGGTGAAGATGCACTCAAGATCTTAAAGGAGAAACAAAAGCCAGATTGAAATTTCATTAGTGTATAAACCTCGGAGTGATATGATTTGACAGAGACGATGTTGATGATCTTAATAGGTATTGAAGATTTATGTTATGTAATGTGATAAAAATCAAATGAAAACAACTCAAATGTGATTCAGAGTTTAACCTAGCATGATCAGGAACAACGGTGTGTTATAATTGCAAATTTACAATTTACAACCACAACATGTAAGCGATAAAGATTAATGAAAGTGAATCACCAGAGTGAGTTTAACCTTTATCCGAAGCTTTAGGAAATACCAAATCAGCCGAAGTAAGCATCAGTGAAGCCAAATCGAACCATCTGCCAGCAATCATGCAGTCTTGAGCCTCCAAGCATAAACTAGCAACTTGTGGTTCAGCTACCTGCGACAAATTTCACAGAATTGCTACAAATTTTGAGTACTGTTTCATGTCAATTAGAAATTAGAAACTCCATGCGTATGAAACGCCAATCTATTGAAAAAATATGTTAAAAAGAGAGATTGTTTTGGTACGTGCTGATGGTAAGGAAGATGTTAGGGATACCTCGGGACCGGCTTCAGCCCAGGACATCTCGGCGGTGAATCGAACGACGGAGAGGATGGGATCCTCCTCGGATGTAGGCACGACCGTCGTCATTGTCGCGATTGGTGGTTGAACTGGAAGCTACTCTCTGCGACGGGGAACTCGCTCGATGTCTTCTCCGGCACGCAGATAACTATCGGGCAAGCTAAGCAAAAACCCTAGACGATTACTGGTAAATACGGTAGATAAAAAATGTGGATAGTCCGTACCCGGTCTATTAAACGGGTGGGGGTATTATACTATCCATTTTTTTTCATTTACATATATTTAAAGAAAATCAAGTAAAGTGAGTTTTTTTTAAATAATATTTTTTTTTTAAAATGCTTATTCTTTATATTATGGATTTATTTTTTTTTCGATTTTTTTCAAAGAAATCGTTTTATTTATGTCTGAAATTATTATTTTGAAGTGTTTTATGTTCGTATTTCAATCAAAGTCTGATTTTCATGCCATAATATCAATTAGAGTTTATATTTATTATGTATGTTTAAATTTTTGTTAGATTTAAATAAAAAATGGTTTTTTTCTCGAAATTCCTGACTAGTTCGTTGGATTCACGGTTTGTTCTTTAAATTCCGTAGTTTTTTTTTTTTTTTGAACTCAAAAATTTAATCCAAAATCCAGAATGTTAGTTTGGAATCCGGAATGTTAGTCGGAATCTAGAATATAGGTCCGGAATTCTGGAATGTCAGTTTGAAATGTACTTTTTTTTGTTAGAAAAAGTGTTTTTTGTAGTTCGGAATATCCATTCCGGACCAAGTGGTTATTTTTGTCAAAAACAATTTTATTTTTTTGTTATTTTTTCAAATATATATTAAATCGTTGTTAGATTACTTAATTTCCCATATTTATATTGTATTCTTAATGAAAATAAAGTAAATAAATTTGCCTAACCTCGGGAGGAAATGGAAAGCAATTGATGTTTAGGTGAATTTGTTAGAGCTTTGCTAGACAGGATATATGATATAGTTATAAGAAGTATGTTGGGTAGGGGTGAGCTCGACACCGAACCAAAATTACTGAGAAACGTAATGGTCGAGATGAAGGTACCGAATCCCAAACCAAATAGGTTGTATCGATATTCGTTTGGTATTGTACTTGGGTATTAGTACCCTTCAGTCCTAAAATTTTAAACAATCCCGACTAACCATGTTTGAGACTTTATAACTCAACCAATACTTATCCCATTATATTTTGTAGCCAAGACAACAAAAATATGAAGGAATAAAACAGCTCATTTAAAGATTGTACGAAAAAATTATGAGCGTCGAAATATGGTAAAAAGACAATTACAAAAGCTGAAATAGCCCAACATCATAAGGTTTGAGGCTCTATAACTCAACCAATACTTATCCAATTAAGTTGATTCTTAAGTCCAACTTGCAAGAAAGACAACAAAGAATATGTAGTAAAAATATCAATTTGGATTCCGAGCTTGTACGAAAAAGTTATGATGGTCATAATATAGTAAAAAACACTTTAAAATTTTGAAACAACCCCAACATCCCATGTTTGAGGCTCTGTAATTCAACCAATATATATCCAATTTAGTTGATTCTTAAGCCTATATTGTATCCAAGAGAACGAAATATGTGCAAGAAAAAAAATCAGATCATTCTGAGTTCATACGAAAATTTATGCGGGTCGGAATATGGTAAATAAATAATAAAAAGTTGAAACAGCCCCAACGTCCCATGTTTAAGGATTTGTAATTCAACCAATACTTATCAAGTTTAGTTGGTTCTTTAACCTAACTTGTAGCCAATATAGAAAAATATATGTTGTAATATTGTCTTAAATTTATGAAATGTGACAAATTTAAATGATAAAAGTTTGATAGCGATCTAATTACTTTTTGCATAGAGATAAAATATAAATAAAATATATTGTAAGAGTCAATGAGCTAGTTAGAGTTATGGAGTCTTACTATTTTGTTGGCCCCGTTTTCTTTTTCTATTTTGGATTTTCCATACGCTCTGGATTTATGATTGTTGTGTCAGAGTGCTAAAGAATATTCACCAATATTAGGTCGCGTTTGATAGTTGCTGACTAAGAAAGTATGTCTGGGTAAGAAATCCTGACTAAGTAAGAAATCATATTGTTTGATTATACATCTGACTGAAATGTGTTGATTAATGGAAAACTAATCATTTTACCCTGCTACTCTATACAGTGATGTAAATTACACTAATCCTTTAAAAATCCAAATAAAAATTATAAAAGGAATCATTGTTTTTTATAAAGTTATAAATAAATTCATTGTTTTTCAACAATTCATTCATTGACCAAAATTGATACAGAGCAACAGTAAACATAAGAATAACACTTTGACCAAATTGTCCCTACTCCATTTTTATTACAAACAGGCCATTCCATGTGCGCATAACTTTGAAAAATCTTGCTTTATATGGAATTGAAAGAAAAAGATCGGATTGTCTTTTAGACAAAACCGTATAACTCCAGCTTTAACGGATCCTCTCATCCATATCTTCAATAATCTGCTGATTTTGAATTTCTTGATCCAGAGAAGCCAATTAAGAACCAACAAACCTGGTTTACTTGTTAATCTTGAGATTAATAAATAAATAAATAAATAAATAAAACTGCCCTTTTCTTGAAAAAAAAAAATGAATCAGTAACCAAAAAACTTTATTCAATCTGTCATTGTAAAGATCCCACTGAACTGAAAAAATTAACATCAGAAAAACCTTCAAATTCTTTTTCCCTTCTAACTTCATTATCCGAAAACTCTAACAAAGCAAAAAAAATAAACTAAAAGAGTTATAAAAAGATAAATCATCATATTAACCATTATCTTTTTCAATGGGAATTCCCTATTTCCTCCTCACCTCATTATTAAATCCTAAGTATCCATTCTTAATCTCGATCAATTTAAGACTGATGTCTTCAAAAATATTCATAATCACCTTATTTTGACTATTCTTCCCTTTCTTAAACAATATGTTATTTCTCTCCTTCCAAATGTGATAAACAGAGGCACCGAGAGCAATCTTCTTCAAAAAAATACCAATACTATTTCCTTTTAAAGAATTATGAAGGTTTTCAATTAAGTTAATCCAATTTCTAGGAACATCCAAGAATAGATGATGGTCTATCTCTTGTTGAACCTATAACTTTCCTTGATAAAAAACTTAATTTATAACAAGCTGGAGAACAATTACACAACATATATAGAGAATGAATTCAAAACAGATGCTAACCTTGAAACGACTTCAGACCAATGTTAATAAAGCCTGAATAAGAGCAATAATCCAAAACTAAAGAACACCAAGAGGATGAATCAGAGCAATAATCCAAAATTAAAGAACAATCGCAAATCGACTGAGATAGGGAGAGACATACCGACAGATGTATGGAAGGAGGAGGAGGCGATGTCGGTGGGTACGACGGCGCCAGACAGTGACGATGAAGGCGTTGGTGAGAGAAGGAAATAGTAGTGTTGATATTTGTTTGCCTTTGCAGATGTCATAGGTAGGCAAGATGAAGGAACGCGTGAGAACTTAGAATGAGAAGGGTAAACAAGGGAACGAGTCTTTCTGTTTTAGTCAATGACTTTTTTTTGGATGATTGGGTAAGACCTTCAAGACCGAGTAAGATGCAACATATTAGGGTATCAAACACAATGAGCTAACCAAGTCAGCCAAATAAGTCTGACCTGACCGGGTCAGCAACAAATCAAACGGGGCCTAGTTTTCACATGATATCCAATTTTGATGATGATTTTTCTCCTCAAGTTCACCACCTATATTCGGGGTCGTCTTAGACGGTGGACAATATGGGCGACCGAACAAGGCTTTTCCTTTAAAGGGACCACACAAATTTGGCCTTACGTAATAGCAGCCGGATAGGACACATTTTCCTAATCTCCAAACCAAAAATTCATAAAATAAGTGTTCAACTACATTGTGAACAAAAAATAAAATCACTGGAAGTCCAAAATATAAAAGAATGTGAGAATGGAGCCAAAATGAAGGAATAAAAA